TCATATTCTTTCAAAGGCGATGCATAGGTGGGAACGAATCTTTTATTTTTCTTTCCAGTTCTATCATTTTCAGAAAATTCACAATGAATTAAAACATAACAATAAGCATGTTAGAATTAAGATGACATACCTGTTTTGCTTCGATAAAATTGTTAAAAACTTTCAAATCGACAAATAGATATGTCTTTACATATGGTTTCTTATATTGTCTCTTCACTTACATTGCATAGTCTCATGCTAATTTATATATTTTGTTTGCAAAATTTTTATATTTTGTTGTCAATATTACAACCATTCATTGTACATTGAATGATTTTTCTTTTTGGTATGGCAATATACTAAACCGAGCAAATGTTAGTGTCGAAACTAAATTTGGAATCAAATTTTATTCAAAAGTTGGGCAAGATATTCAAAATTTTTTATACATTAATGGGTCAAAACTACAAAAAAATTTAGAAACATTGGTTTAGAGACCAAAAGTTTTAGCATTACCGATTTCAGAATTGTAAACAAATACACAATATTAACATTATTCGCTACTTGATAAATTGTAATTGTATCGTGTTACACCAGCGATCATTATCTTTAATATTATTTTTCTTTAAAACTTCTAAATTTTTATACTAAAATTTTTTTTTCCAGACACTGGCGAAGACATCAGAAGTGGCGTCCTGGTCTTAAGAAAAAGCAACAAATTTCTTAAAAAAGATTTCTTTTAGAATTATTTATTGATACAAGTTATTTTGAGATTCCCAAATGACTCGGCGTTAATAAATTCAAATAAATATTCCCCAGTTTTTTTTTTTTTTAATAAAGTCTGCTTATCCAATGTTGTAAGAACATTTGTAATTTTTTCGGAGCAAAGATTAGGTTAATTTAATTTAATAAAAAAAAAAAATAATAATTTGTTTATTTGAAGTGAAAGTTGACTTTGTTAAAAGCAAATTGTGGTTTATTTATTTGAATTGAAACAAATTGTTCTTTTGTCCCCCCCTTTTTTTTACTAAAATTGATTTTAATATATATGTATCTATACAAATTTCTATATACGTATATTGATTATTCATCATTCTAACAAAGCAGATAATACACTAAAGTTATATCTGATAATATTTTAAAATTCATTATTGCCAGTTAATTTGGCAGAAAATTGTTTTAACGTTTAATATGAAAGCGGACAATCATTTTACACTGTTTTAGAAGCCAAAAAAAAAGTATTACAGACAATATCTATCTCTTGCACTGCCTGTATTATTGACTCAAGATGTTTTATCTTGTTTTTATAACAGAAAAAACTTTTTTTATTGTGTGACAAAGCCAAAAAATATTTGTTGATGCCAAATTAATTTTAATTCAAAGTTCTGAACTGGTAACAAAAATATTATTAGAACAAACTTACTACAGAAGAAATGTGAATTTTTATTTTCTACATCAATTAATACAAAGTATATATTCAGATTCCTTTCTGTTTCTAATTTTTTACCTTTTTTTTTACAACATTATTACAATATTTACAACATTTTCATTCTTTCATTCAAGAAAATGTTTCTTTTGAAACATAAAGCTTCAGTATATACTCGTACGAATATTTTATATTTTCTTATTTTGTATGCAGTTTATTTTAGCTTCCGGAATTATATTTTCAAAGATGTATACACCGTATTCATTTATATACTACCAAGCGAAGCAATAAACATAGTTTAGGAAGACGGACGGTTCATATATTTGTTCAAAATGCAATCGGTTTATACGGTAACCATAGTTTTAACACGAGAAAAGCCAATCGACAAACAAATTTTGGCCGATGTAATCAAATAAGAAATAATTAGTCTTGTAATTTAAGTTGTTATTAAAATAAAAATATCAATTAATAATTATACTCTTTGCAAATAATTGTCTTCAAATTCAAATTACGCTCAAAACATACAATTTAACTGTAAGATATATAGTAGTGAAACACTTCGGACGAAACATATAGCAAAACGTACAATTCAATTTTAAGACTCTAAAAATAAGTTCCATTCGAATACCAAGAGGGGAGTTTTTTGTGCTCATTACTATGTCGGCCGAGCCCTCGACAGAAAAGAGGTGGACGGGTTCGATGCGGCGTAGTCTCAAATTATGCAAGTGGCAGCACAAATGTATTGTGAATTCATCCGGTGAACAAATCGGTACCACGCAATATTATTGACGCGTTCTCCTCGCCACTTGCATTACTCCAGACTAGGCACCCGGGCTGGAAATTTAAGGATTTCCTCGGAGAGACTGACGCGCGCTTTAATCATCCGGTCCACAAGAAAAATACAAACCATCAATATAAAATCAATTGGAATTATCAAAATCTTATCATTTCAAAATTGTTTTATGAATGATATTTTCAGAACAGACCGCATAAGTAAATAAACGGACAATGGTGTATTTTGGCTGGTATCTAGTATAGTTATATTGTATATGTTTGGCCCGTTTTATCACAACTCATAATGGGCTCACTACAAAAAGGCTCGCTAGTGCTCATGGGGCATAGAGAATTAAAAAAAAATTCTGATAACGTAAGATATGGTTTCATATTAAAAATATCAATTTCAGACAATGTGATTGTGTAAGATATATAGTAGTGAAACACTTTAGCTAATATGATTTTACCCTGAATATTAAAAAAAAATATGGTGCAGAACAATCGAATATCTTCAAAAGGCTATGATTGGCCATGTATCCTTAATGTGCCGGTGTCTTATTTTCAGCCGTTCGGCATCCGGCCGAAGATAAAGCCAGTGTGAGGGACCCGGGGGCAAAGCTTCGAATTTTCACCAGCGGTTCGAACTGGGAGTTTTTTTAAACTCTTTGCTCCACGAACATTAAGAGGGCCTCTTTTAGCAAGCCTATTATGGATTCGGCCAGGCCCACAATTCATGTTATGTAACCTGTTTTACATGTATTATGCTTGTAAACATTCTGCTCTCAACCTTGGTGGTGCTCTGCGGAGCCGAGGCCATCTTAGGAAATAAAGATTAATACAAAGTGAAGTTAAGGCTCGCAATGGTAAACCATTGTATTATCCTGTATTACTACCCGGTTATGCTATGCGGTACCAGGCATGTACCACTATGGTATCTTAAAACAAAATGAATGAATGAGGCCCGCAACTGGGAAGCCGGGTGGCGAGGGACGAGGCCCAACATATCCGGATGGACCCCCTCCAAAAAATTCCTGGGGATTTTTCGATCCTGAGTCCCCAAAGGTAGGCTGCCACCCTGACTGCCGGGCCATCTGCGGGGTGGAAATGGTTGTCTCTGAAGAGTACAGTTGAAAGAATTGGAATTTTTGGGGGAGATCAATTTGGGGCCCATTTCTAGCATGACAGGATGAATACAATAGTGAAGACCAGGCCTGGGAGTAATACTCTCCGGCCTATTCTGGTTACTGCGAGTATTATTAATGCACTACCAAAATTTTATAATTTAAAATATGCATAGGACAGAATAATTCAAAACAATAAATTAGTTCCAAAAAGTACCACCGGGCGAGAAATTGCGCTACGTTCGATGCGGCTGCTAGAATTTGAAAGTTTAAATTTACGTAGCGAATTAGTTTTTGAATTTTTGTTCGTAATTATTGAATAATAACGATACTCGTTTAAAGCGCCATTTTCCCCCTAACGGTAGTGAAACGAATCTCGTGTAAATTCCTTATATAAATGACATCATTGGAACAATACAGAAAAACATGACGATGCGTAGCACGTGCGACATTCGAATGTTGTGGGGGGACGCTCTACGCGACATCATCGGTGACGCAGTTTCCACATGCGCATTCGACGTTAATTTATTCCCAGCGAAAACAGCCTTCGATGTCAATTTTGAAAAAAAAAAAAACGTCGCCATTGAAATTCGTGCGCAGAATTTTAAAAATGCCGGATCACGTGATCGAAACCGCCGACCGCACGGTTGGGGGGAAGGAGATTATCCAGTTTCGCACGCGCAAGAATTTAGTAAAGCACGTGACAAAAGTTAATCATAGCCGAAATTTATATTAATCTAGTCGTTCGCGTGTAGAAAATTGAATAAACGGCGTTAAAATTTTATCGACCGGCAAAGTTGCCGGTCGGTAATTGTTTGACGTTGCGAAAGAAGGAAAAAAAAACAAAAAAATTTCTACACTTCCGTTTCCTACGCGCTTGCCGTTATTCCTAAATGGCCGGAGCTTAGATCAGGCGTAGGATATTAATCTAAGTGCATTAACTCTACGCGTGAGGCTCGTCGTTAACTGGCATGTTTCGGCCTTACAACACGACACTAACGTCATTTATTATATCTGTGACGTAGTGAGAGGGAGGAGATTCGAACGGGGTTCGGCCTCCCGCTCCGGTTTTCGTACGACGTCGATTTATCGTCCGTCTCGCCCCCCCCCGCGTTTTGAGGAAACGTCGGTCTTCGCCGCTTAGGAAATAAACCTTCGAGAATATTAATAGAAGTGGCGTTTATAAAAGCGTCGTTTAACAAAAGTGAAGAGCGTAGGGGGAAAGGGGGAGGATGGCTTCCGAATTTCTAGTAAAAAATAAATGGTGGAGTACAGTACATTCCTTGGTCCGGAAACGAGACGTTTCCACTCCTCCGCTGCGTTCACCCAGAAGAGGCCTCCTCGGAAAGGAGGGAGCCGAAGCGGCGTCCGACGCCATCTTGAATGGGATGCCGCGCCGACGCGGCGAGATTCCGACACCCGGCGGCCTCGTCGAGACGAGTCGACTCGGCGGGTCGCATTCCGGCGCCGTTCCGTCTTCCGCGCGTCCTCCCCTCCGTCCTCCGGCGCCCGCAGAGGGGGCGAAAGAAGGAACGAGGTGTTCTCCCGGCCGGCGACGACCCCGGAGGGCCCCCCGCGGTGCGTGGTCCAAGCGCGCGGCGGAGCAAACGGGCGCGCGGCCCGCGACGGAGGGGGTGAGCACGAAGAAGTAATCGACGTAAACACCGCGGTCGGGTAGGGCCGGGAGCGGCCGCGGAGGGGAAAGGGAGCCGGAGAGGGAGGACGGGGGCGGGCCGGGTCGTCCCCCGGCGCTAGGGAACCCGGGAAGGGCCCGACGGTGCGTTTTTCGTCCGGCCGGGCCCGTAGCAACCGGACCAGCTGACGCGTCGGCCGACCAATGGCAAAGTGGGTCACCGGCGGCCGGGCCAATGGCGCGACGCGTCCGTCACATGGTTTTGTTGACGGTCGAGCCGGCTCGGATCCGTCAACGAGAGTCGAAGAGCCGCAGCGGAGGGTAGGCGACGCCACTCCGCGTAGTTTACGTCGACGGAAGAGCGGACGCGCGCGCGCCAGATGTCGACAGGCAAGCGCCTGGCCAAGAGGTCGATCCCCGGGACCAGGGTGTGCGCCCCCGTCGAGGACGGGACCTACGTGCCGGGCGTCATACAGGCATGCAAGACGGACGCCGACGATCGCGACGACGTCTACTGCGTTCTACTGGAAGACGACAGAAGGCGCGAGTACAAGGGACACCAGCTGATCGGACCGGGGTTCCAGAGCGTTTCCAAAGCGGTTCTAAAGACGGGACAGAAGGTCTACGTCACCTACAACGCCAGGGAAGTTTCGGCCACCGTTATCGGGCGCAAACCGGAAGGAGACGACGTTCTGGTCAGCCTGAACGGGCGTCCCTGCGTCAGACTGACCATGAAATCCGACGAGGTGCGGCTGCTGGAGAGCCGGAAGTCGGCCCGGCTGCAGGATCAGGACACGGACTACTCGCGACTGGCCGACGGACAGAGCGAACCCAGGCGCAGGGCCTCTTCCCTGGGCATCGACGTGCCTTTGGGAACGGGGTAAGTGACCGGAAGTCGGCTCGGGCACCGGACGTCCCGAGACGGCCACCGGAAGCAGTGACGTAACGGATCTTGTTTTCAGGGGAAGAAAGCGACGTTCCAGCGCGGAGGATAACGTGATGGACGATTGCACGGCCGCCATGGTGTTGATGAGTCTTTCGTGCAGCCCCAAGTCGAGTCGTCCTTCGGAGCCAGGTTAGTGCGCCATTTTTTTTTCGGTTTTTCTCCTTCTTCTTCTTCTTCCATCTTCCCGGGTGCGGGAGGTCGCCCGACGGATCGGGCCGTCGGCCGTCCTCCGCCGGGTACGGGCGTCGCCGGCACGCGCGCGCCACCGGGAAGTAAACAACCGGCCGGCGAAGCGGACGCATGCGCAGTCGGCGGTTTCCCGGCTCCGACCCGCCGCCGGTTCGGGTCGACGTAACCGGAAGTCGGTCGGCGGTGGTCTCGGCCGGTCCGCGGACTACCGATCCCGTTAAGTTCGAGAAGCGGCGAGAGTCCGGCCCGCGTCGCTTCCATTAAAACGAAGCGCGCGCTCGCTCTCTCGCGTCCTCATATCCGGACCGGTCGGCGTCCTCCCGAAGGACGATCCGGCGCTTCCGGGTGGCGCCGAGTCCGAGGCGAGACTTCGACCTCCGTCCTTTTCGGGATTCCCGTTCCGCTCCGAGTTGGCGGCCGTCGAATCCGCCCGGGACGACGCCGGAACGCTCGCCGGTCGGCACGGATCGAAGATGGCGGACGACAAGCGGAGCCAACGCGGAAACGGCGTCGCTTTCCGCTTCCGTTTTCTCTCGTTTCGGATCGAATTCGCCACTCCGCTCTCGTATACGCTCCTTATCGGGAAAGAAGATTTAAAAAAATAAAATAAAAATGGCGGTTCGCCGACCGCCCGTCTTAATCCGCGGGCGAATTAGGCGACGTGACGACCTCCAAACGGCGGCATTTCTAGGACACGAACGCGAAAACTTTTTCTACGACCTTTATTCTCGTTCGGTAAACGCATAGCGACGGCAGACGCTACGCCGACTACCAGCTGGCAACACTGATCCAACACTAGTAAAATCCGAGAACGGATGTGCCGCTTCCCGACTCTAATGTTTATTCGCTTCGGATTGCTTATCTTCGGTTTCGGAAAGTTTATCTTCCTTACAAAAAAAAGCAGCCAGACTGCACGGAAATTAAGTAGGACGATACTCGAAAATAAAAGATTTCCATCCCTCTATTGGAAACCGTAGATTCTGCCTCTACGATTAGTCTCGTATTAGTAACGGGTGCGGGACTAAGAACGAGAGCTTCCGTCTATTATAAAACACTTGAAATGCCGCTCGAACACGGATTGTTTTCTAAAGAAATTTCATTTAAAACTTAAATTTTCACTTATTTAAATCGTAAAGGCAATTATTAATAAAAATACTTTTAAAATTTAGATATGGGGGTGTTTAGAACGATGTGTTTAATTCCGTACTAACCGGCTTAGCCGCTATCAAACTTAATTCCTCGTATTAAACCCTAGTTAAATACAGGTCTAGTGTAATTTAAGCTATTAGTTAACCCCCCACCGAACTTAATTCCCTATTATGCCGGGTGTTAAAGTTTGTTAGGGGCTAGCCAATAACTTGTATACGTACAATACAGTGCTTGTATTAACACAAGTGTCAAAGCAACGGAAGATTTGTATTGGTGTTAAGTTAAATTAAAATTGATGGTAAAAAGTTCGAATTTAAACATTTTTCTTAAATTAAAAATCTTCTTTTTAGAAGTTCTAACACCATTATTAATCGCCTGTAGTACAGTTTAGGTGTGTATGGAACTGTTACGTAAGATTAATGGAAGTGAAAAAGCGTTAAAGAAGACATTTTTATATTAAAAAAGATTTATAATTTATGATTTTGGCACCTTTAAAATTAAATACGAACGTCAATTGGATTTAATTATTAAGCGTCGTTCAATGGGCCCACCGTACAAATTACGTATTGTCGATGTCTATTATTTATAAAAAAAACTTCTCATTGATTTAAATCTATGAGCTATAAATGTTAAGAAAATTTATTTATATATTTTTAATTTAAATCACTTTAAATTAATTAGTGTAGTTTTTTTTAATTGGGGAACTTTTAACTTATTTAGTCGTTATTGTCATTTGTCCGCCATCTTTAATTACACGCGGTTTAATTCAAATTACGTATAGAGATCGAAAGGTTGCGTCAAATTGAGGTTTGACAGTTCGTTTTCAAAATCGACCAATCGGGAAACGTCTCCCAAAGGAAATATAAATGTCGCCTTCGGGCCATAAAGTAATAGAAATCTAGGACTTTATCCTGCCCTAGAGTATCTTAAACCGAGAAGGTACCGTAACTTGCGAGCGGGTTTGCCCTCCGTGTCAAATTTTAGAGGAGCGACCTCGCTTCGAAGGAGAAACGTAATAAAATAAGCGCGGATGAATAGAATGGCGGGGAGGGGGGAACGACGGAGATGACGTCGTTTCGGTCGTTTTTAAGAAAACGAGGCGCTCCGCGGTGTTAAAGTAGGCCCGCCGGGCGGAGATCGGAGAGCGGCCCGAGGGTGTGCGACGCCCGGTTTCGTCGTCGCCGCCATCGCTTATCGATGATTGACACGCGAAGAGGAGGAGTCGGACGCGTCTCCGCCTCTACTCACGCCCAGCTGATTTTTTTTTCTTGTTTTGTTTCCGCAGGTCCCAGCGGCAGTTCGTGGGCCAGCGAGTCTAGTTGGTCGGGCGATCGGTCGCCCACCCGCAGCCCTCCTTCGCCCGACGATCGACTCTCGCCCTCCAGGGACGAGGGCATCGACGTAGATGACGTCGGAGGCTTTCGCAGGGATTCCTCCACCGCCGACTCGCAGGTGAGCGCTCGCACGCGGAAGACCAGTTTTTATGATCTATTAAAAATCACTGACCGTCGCGTAGCGCGTCGCTTCGTCCGCGAGACGACGAAAAAAACTGATATATGCCGGAAATTCTGACTTTCGACGGAAGTGACGTTTCCTAGTGTTAACGAGCGACTTTTTTTTCTTGTTTTGTTTTAAGGTGATGACCAAAATCGTCTTCCAATGCACTTGGCCAGGATGCGCCAAGCGGTACGCCGTCTGCGAAGACGTGGAGAGACACGTCTGCGTCACTCATTTGGGGTGAGTATGGGTGTCGATCCTCTTCGATAATAAACTAACATACATTTCTATTATATTTCCTTCCGTCATTTTGTAAGCACGAGAAAGTGTATCGCGAAACTCGCGCCTTTCTAATCTCCCTTTCTTTTTTGATTCGTATACAAGTAAGGTACTGTATTCCGTAAAGATTAGTAGCGAGGCATATTAAACTATTAATAAATAAAATTTTATAAAGTTAAAATAATAATTATTGAATGGTTCAAACTTTCTATTCTTGGCGCTTTCCTTTGGTACTCGAGTATCCTAAATCCTTGGGAACGAGTAGATAAAACTATTGAACACTGGCCAACGAGCTGGTCAAGTGAGTGAAGTTTTTCGGGCTTACTTTACGTCTGTAACACCTAAATACGGGCCAGTTTCTCATAGAAAGTCCTCCCGGAAGGCATACCCATTCGGCAAATCGTTTCGCGTGGCCATAAACGAATAAACCAACCTAAATCCTTTACAACTCAATTCCTCAAAAGGCATTATAAATCTCTACAGTTTCTTATAAAAGTTAAAAATCGTCATTTTAAACGCTTAAAATCTGAGAAATGGTATTCGCTTCGTCCTAGGAATCTCTAGGCCCTTCCTGAAGACGAATGGGGATCTGGTTCGGATGATCAATGAATGATTTCTATCGCTTTGAATGGGAGCTAGCGGGTGCGATTGTTCTCGTGTCTTACTACTGAAGAATAATTTTGTTTTCTCGAGTATTTACGTAATTGTTCTCAGCAGCAATGGCGCCGAATGTATATATTAGTCGAAAACTGGAGTCGAGTCGTCATAATTTCTATAAAAATGATTCCAGTTTGTTGGAAACCGAACTTCTTATAGTTCCGTTAAATAGTAATAAGTTTGCATATACATCATTACGAGGAGACGTATGGAGAGAGAAATTGGCACACGTAAACCGAAAGCTGGCACATCTACCCTTTCTGTGACTACCAGTGACCGAGTAGATAAAACCATCGAAGATTGGTAGATGGCCACGTGGAGTTTTTTCGGATTTTCTTCACGTTAATAACATTTAAATACGAGCCAGTTTCTCATAGAAAGTCCTCCCGGGAGGCATCCCTCTCGGCAGATCGCCCACGTGTTGCGTTGCCGTAAACAAAGTAAATTAATCCACCCTTTCTGTAGGAAATAGCCTGTACATGAAAATTAAGGTTGTAATTTACTTACGACGCAAGAATTAGACTTGATTCGAGTCTCTTTACGAGTCTGTTATTCTTAATAATGTAAATTCGGATACGTAATTTACTAATTATAACGTCGAGGATTGTTGTTTCGTTTCAGGAGGAACCGAGTGGGAGAAGCGGATCGCGAAGAAGAATTCTATTACACAGAAATCGAAGTGGAAAATTGCCGGTCCGTACCTCCGTCCGTCCGGGGTCCCAGTATATATTCTTCGTCCGTGCCCACTCTCAGCCATCTGGACATGGCGCGACCCCCTCACGAAGATCCCGAATATGGACGTCGCTCGGCCGAAGTAAGTCTTTTTTTTTATATCTTTTTACTCTAACGTCTGCTTATAACATTTCCAATTGTCAGATACGGCTACTGCCGGGTGGATAAAACCACTGAACACTGGTTGGTCGTGGGTTCGCGCCCGGTCAACGAGCTGGCTACGTGAAGTTTTCCAGGTTTTCTTCACGTTAGTAACACCTAAATAGGGGACCAGTTTTCCATAGAAAATCCGCCCGGAAGACATCCCCCTCAGATTGCCCACATGTCGCGTTGGCGCAATCCAATTGTCAGATAAACCCAGTCGTGTAATTGGCACTGTACGATCACTGCGAACTTCGATCCAGTTTGATCAAGGATATTACACAGGTTTATAAGAGCTTAGCATATTCAAACCGTTGATTTATACATGCAAAAAGACCATCGATCGTTATTCTTAAAGATATTTTCAAAAATCTACGGTTAACCAAATCGAAGAGCGCCCAATGTGATTGTCTGTGGCTCAGGCCCTAATAAGGGGGTCTCTCTTATTAGGGACTGAGGGGGATTCCCTTGTAAGGGGCTCCCTTATTATAGCTGGACTATTTGGCTCGGGCTTCACATTTACGATGGCCTCAAAAACATTCAGTAGAAGTTACTTATTCAAGAAAACCGTGAATTTTTATTATTTAAAAAATTGCACTTATATTTTCTGAGGGTCTCAGAAAGGTAACTGATCGGAACCTCTCTCAATTCCTGCAGTTATTTTGCATTCAAATTCGATAAAACGAAATCTAATTAATCTTATGTTGTATATCGATATTTACTATCATCCTTCGTGCGTACGCGTTTTCTACCAATGCCAAACGTTATTAGAATCCGATCAGTTGGAAATCGCCATTCGTACGCTACGAAGCTGTTTCTTTTCAGTTTTGAATTCGTGAAAATTTCGAGCCGAAAGTTCTCGAGCTGCCCAGAAGATAAAACCACTAATTGGTCACGGGTTTGCCCTGGCCAACGGTCAGGACACGAGTAGTTTTTCCGGGTCTTCTTCACGTTTGTAACGCCTAAATGGCTAATTTTCCATAAAAAGTCCCGGAAGGCATCCCTACATGTCGAGTTGCCGTATACAAACAACCGTAAAATTTTTACGGATCCGGATATATCCGGCTTGTTTGTTACCTCCGATCTGCCATTTTGGATAGGTTTGGCCAACCGGCTTGCCTATGGATAGATTCTGATATTGTGGATAAGAAAGAACCTACAATTATAACAGATGAAGGCTTTTTAGTGCCCACAGAGCGGAGCGTTTAAATTCATAAGGATAATTTAATCAAAAATATTCAATTTGCAATAAGAATTTTAATTGACATCTGGTTTTGGATTCGAATTCAGTCCGGATTCTCGCGATTTTTTGTGGATAATTCGGATGGGCACTTCTTCCTCATCCGTGTCCACTGATTCGTTGAGGATCGGAGGAACCATTTGCAACGAGCAAAAGACATTCTTTTTACAAAGTTTTAAAACTGTACTATAGATTTCATACGGAAATGTTAATTCAACGAATTAAATATGAAGGTTTTCGAATGTGGAGATTATATAATTGAAATTTAAATAATATATTTTTTCTTTATTTTTAATCCACAGCATCCCGTATTGCTGGAAACAAGTTCAGGTCCTGTAAATATACCATCTTCATCTTTTCCAATGTCCTGGTCTATGCACGGATATCCTGCCAGTGCTCCAAGCACGATGGTAAATATTTTCTTATAACTTAAAAATAGAATCATAGTTCTAATTATATTTTTTTGCGCGAAAAAAACACTTCTACAGTTTCAATGAGGAAGCCGTAGAAATGTTTACGTAGTAGCAGATTTGAAGAGGAGCTTAAAGTTTCGAGTGTTGCGTGCCATTGAACTTGCAGTTTAAGTACGTTAGCCTTCATCGTGTTGCAACTTTCGGAAAAATATTGCGAGAGCGTAATCACATCTGCCGAGTTTGTAAGAATCTGTTAGTAATCCATAGAGCTACTTGGATTACAATTTCCTGTTGATAGAAAAAAGTTGAATTAAGCAAAATAAAACATTATACATTTACATTTTATTGACTCTTACATCGTTTAGTATGTGATTTTACAAAACTTAGGAATGCAAATTTCATTATACACCTCATTGATTATACATCTCTCCCTGGGCAGAACGCCCACGTATCACGTTGCCGTAAACCAGTGTCGTAACTAGCCATTCCTGTGTCCTGTGCAAGAATTTGCATATATGCCCCTTAATTAATTAGGTTTGGGAAAATAATAAAACAAATGCGTGCATTTTGGGCCCCCTTCCAAGTGGGTCCTGTGCTGGTGCACCTGTTGCATCTGCTTGGACTGGCGTAAACAAGTCTAATCTAACTAACCGGCCACAATTATGCTCATTAGAAGTGAACCATACACTCAACGAGATCGATCAGCACGGGTAAAGTCCCGAATTTTTTGTCATAATTCTGTGGTTTCAATTTTACAATTACTTTTGCGCCGCATTACACGTGATAAATTACGGGCAGAAGACAGCATGCAATGAAATCAATATTTATTTGTAATACAAAAGAGAGCTTTGTGGTTTAAAATTTTTGGCCTTATCCAGGGCCCTGACAATAAACTTTTTGGGATCGAAAAAGTGTCCGTGGCGGTTATGTGCGAAGCAATTTGAGCAAAGAATCTATAAATTCATAGCTTCTAGCAAGTAACGGCGTTTTCCATCTTGCGAATACTTCTTAATTGGGTTTACTTGTTAGTACCGAGTTCTTTCCATTGAGATGGTCTCGACTATTCAATGGACGTATTCAACTTAATGTCTTTTACTTGACGTCAATGTTGCTATCTTTATTCGCCATATGCAATGCATTTTAGTGGTGCGGAAAGAGCACGTTTGCTAGGCTTTTATTCGCCCACCTTTCGTTACAATCCGTATAGGTTAAGCTAGTCAATATTTGGATATATTTTTGCATGAATTGCTACTACAAATGTAATAGGATCACAATGAAAAATTGTGTTAAGTTTACGTTGGAAAAGCTTTCGAGATATTCATTTAAATAATACCCTCTTTGTTGATAATTTAAGATGGTTTTAGTTTCAATAACAAAAATGGCCGCTAAAATCACTTGACTTACGCTAAGATCACCATTGAGTGTAGACGGCTCAGAATTCCTTTTACCAAGGTAATTTTAACATTTTAAGTTATAGCAACGTGTAATTTCTTTTCCAAAACGAAACATCTTCGTTAGAATTGCCTGTAGAGCAATGGTTTTTCAGTATGGTTTTTATCTGTGTTTCTAAGGATGTGGTAAGGTAACCATATCCAATAATTTATATGAATTATTGGGTATCAGCCGTCTTAAACATACACCAAAATAGAGCCACTTAGCCCAATTAACTGTAGTTTTCGCAGGGAAAGAGTAGACGTGAGTCAGTCTGAGCTGGAAGGATTTATGTCAGATGAGAGATCAGAACTCCCAATAGAGTAGCCCCGTGTCTCCTTCCATCTCTTTGATGGAAGGAGACACGGGGCTACTCTATTGGGAGTTCTGATCTCTCAGTTTTTTTTACATTTTCAAAGAGTTTTTATACCATTAATCACACGTTTTACACGTTAATCACATGTCTCCTTCCATCTTTTTCATCTGACGTAGACCCTTTCAGCTCAGGCTGACTCATGCCTGCATACTCTTTCGCTGCACGGACTATTACTTAATATGGTAGTTTCAGAAAACCACTGCTTTAGAGAAATATAGTTGCAACCACGCTGTTTAGTAATGCGACTATAAAAAGAATTATTTATTAAATAAGCAAAATTTAATGACTTTCACGCGTTTAACCTTAAGTAAGCTGAAAGATTTTATGAGTAATGATAACAGAAATGTATCAAAGTATGTATATTTGTAAATGCAAATTGAGTCAAAATAAGTATGAAGATGGATTTCAATAGAATATCATACGTGCAATTCGTATGACATTCAGAATTTGTCAGTTATTTTAGGTAAGGAATTTATTTATAAATATATTGTAACGCGACAGATTACTTGTCGCCATAAAGAATCTATTATCGTGAGGAATTTGAGTTCGAATTCTGTCCTTATTTTCATAATTTATTCATTATAATTCGGATACCTAAGTAATCGGTATCTTCCAGTCAATTGCACAGAATAATATGCATTTGACTGGAAGTATTGATATAATTTTACACCGCTGAATTTAAGCTTGATAGCAAAACTAGAGATGATCTTTAAGCATGACTTTTACAATCTTTCAAGCCCACCTGTGGACGAATGGATAAAACTACTGAACACTGGTAATTGGTCGGGGGTTCCCACCTCCAAAAGGCCAAGATTTGTTGGATTGGCTCCAACAAAATCCAAAACCCCAAAACGGTGCAAATGTGTTTAGTTCTGTATCTCTTCTTGTAGCTCTCTGTACAAGCAAAGTCTTTGATTTTATTGGTAGACGATATAAATCTTTCCAAAATCTTATCTCTTCCATTTGTTTTCATTCTAAGACAACTCCAATTAGGATGCCAATCTAAAAAAGAAATGGGGCTTTCAATGGTTTTTAAGGCTGGTAATTGGCGTTTGGTATGTGATACACCCAATCTTATGGGAGAATATTGCTACGTTCTAGGGTTGTCGTGAAGCAATGGTGAGGACCACTGCTGCTGCCGGATCATTTGTTGATGAAAAATAATATCTAATATTTACTTCTTGATAAATAAGTATTGCAAAATGTTGACTCTTAGTTCATTGTAGTTTGATTGGTTTCGTTGTAACTCGGATCAAATTCATGCTGTATTTCATGGTTAACGATAGATCTCCAGAATAAGTATCGATTCGTTAAATTTCCTGAAGAAAATATGCTGTACTTTTATGTAAAAAAATATCATTTAATATTAATTAGTTTAAATAAAATAGTGAATGATCAGCTTTCTTGCATTAGAGTAAACGTTTTTGCATCTGAAGTTTCGTGACTTTCGGATCAAAATTTGTCTTTATATCTATGATATAATTTTGTAGAGGTTTGCATTTCGGTAGCTCGTTGTAATCTATAACAAATTTATTATAATTCCTGTGATGATTCATTCTTAATCCATAGATTAAAGTTGGATTGAGGATCATACGCGCCTTATAGAAATTAAGAATTGGGCACTAAAGATTCTTAGTTACAATATTAGAGCCTCGTTATCTGTTAGTACATTTTATTCATATTTCACTTATGTTTACAGCAAACATTTCTATTACAGGGCTCTTCTCCGCAGAAATTTTTACGATTGACTTCCAAGACGGCCTCTTCGCCCGGTAAGGTACCTCCACACCGGAAGGGAAGGTCGGAAAGCCGGAAGTGTCGGAAAGTATACGGAATGGACAACAGGGAAGCCTGGTGCACGCAGTGCAAGTGGAAGAAGGCCTGCAGCAGATTCGTGGACTGAGATTCTGTAAAATGATCTCGTACGACCAACGTCGTACGAGATCATTTTTCTCGAGAATTGGTTGGTCACCATGTGCCTTACTTTTTTTTTATACGATTAACGAAATCCCCCCGGAGACCATAGCTCCCATCGGACGCTCATCCTTCACCGTATAAAAAATTTTTTTAAAAATTTTAAACCCGTGTATAAAACGCCAAACGGTTTTTTTGTATCTGTCGTGTTATATGTAAATAAATAATCATACGTATAGACTTCTCTTTGACTTATACTTCTGAAGATTATAGGATTCAGGTTCATGGTCGTGGGTTCGCGCCTCTTCAATTGGGTGGCCACGTGGAGATTTTCGAGTTTTCTTCATGTTTGTAACAACTAAATTATACTTTAATAATAATAATAAAAGTGTTTCCCCTAAAAGTTCGGGAGGACTTTTATGGGAAGTACTTATTATTATTATTCAAATACTTAATTTTTATTTGATAATAATTAAGCATAATTGATAGGTAAAAGTAATTAACTATACAACAGGTAATTACAAGATGAAATATGTACTCAAATAAGGAAAATAATAATTCAAAATGACAAAAAGTGATAAAATATTTTACATCATTTCGTAATTATAAAAAATATACAAGATAATTGATCATAATTAAAGTTCCGCTACTGCTTCTTATCAACCTTGAAATTTATTACCTTTTATAATATATTGACGACTTTCGGGAAATCATTTATGCGAAAAAGTATTAGTTGAAAAACTCTCCGTAAGGGGAGAAATGGCGCTTTTTCATAAAAGTAATCTTACTAGATTGATTCAAAAGAAATTATCGTTAACAACTTATTAATTTTCGAAAAAATATTTAAGAATGTGAAGCTCTATCTTGCAAAAATTGTAACAATAAATAATGCTTTTTTCAAACTCTCCGCCCTGTGGGCATTAAGAGGGCCTTTTTAGCATGCCCATTACGGATTCGGCCAGGCCCAAATGGGCGGCCGAGTGATGAGGGACTCGATATATCCGGACGGACTACCCCCGAAAAATTGCTGAGGATTTTTCGATCCTGGGTCCCCCAGAGCGGTAAGCTGCTACCTTGACCGCTCGACCATGGATGAGACAACGATGCGGTTATCCCAAGCGGAAAACTAACAGGAGCGACAAAATGGCCAGTTAAAAATGTTCAAAGGGAAAAATAAATAGAAAATAATAATAATAAACCGAATACAATGAAGTCCCATAAATGTACTTTTAAGTTATTTATAAATGCTTGATACAAGAGTGCCAGTGCTGAAAGTGCTCTCTGTCGGCAATCGTTCTGGAAGCCCTGTTGCAAAAATAGATTTTGCTCAGGTGCAAGTTACCAGGGCCCACCAGTGGCCAAGAGGACTTTGTTCCTTGAATTCTGGGAGTTCGGTAGTGGGTTCGCGCCTCGCTCGAACGGGCTGGCCACGTGGAGTTATCCGGGTTTTCTACACGTCTGTAATGCCTAAATAGTGGCCAGTTTCCCTTAAAAAGACCTCCCGGAAGGCATTCCCCTACGCAGATCGTCAAAGTGTCGCGTTGCCATAACTTAAAGAACAAACAAAGCAAGTTATCAGCAAGGCGGCACTGCTCTTAGATACTGTATAATTTCCATAGCTAGGTTGGGTTGATTTATATATGTCGACTATGACCCCTCGCCACCCGGCTTTTTATTGTGAGCGTCGGAGAAGTCCGACAAGAGAAGAAAGTCCTGGGGTCTCTTAGACCTGTTTAAAGAGCTCAAGACAGAATCCGTAAAATAAATTTTACGTCTATAAAATAAATTTACGTAATACCAAATGCAGGAAGAGAGAAAAAAAGAAATGTCATAAACCGAGATTGTTATGAGGAAGAAAATATCAAGGAACCTGTGTCCACGATCGCTTTTTCACAGTCTGGTATAAGATGACGAGGGACACTCTCTCCAACCTGTGATACAAATATTTCAACCTTTTCAGTTTTTACTGATTCTACTTTGTGGACATTAAGAGAACCTTTTTAAATCATACTTATTTTGGGTTCGGTAAGATCACATGGGCAGTGAAGTATACGACAATGCAACACGCTGGTGATCTGTCAAGGGGGATGACTCCCGAGAGGACTTTCTATGAAAAATTGGTTCTTATATAGATGTTAGAAATGTAAATAAAACTCGGAAAACATCAGGTGACCAACCATAATAGGGTACACTACCAGGTTTTATCCACTCGATCACTGATGGGTGAATTCCGCACGGACCGCCCATTAAAAATTCCTGGAAGTTTTCGCCTATTTGGATTTGATTTCGGGTCTCTCAAAATAGTAAATAGAGCTTGGGATTTTGTTGTCAAAGTCCCCAACTTGTAGAGAATAATTAAATGTAAAGTACAGTATGTAGCCTATATCTTTGATTCGCTCGTATCTCATGTTAATCAATCGATCATTTTAATTTATAAAATAATTTATACTTCAAACAGAAAAACCGACTGTTTTCATTTTGTCCTCTAATCCAAAATTTCGAATTAGTTTTGTAATTTTGCGAGGTCACACCTTCGTATTTGTGTCGACATAAAAAAAAACTTTTTTTCACCTTGTACCAGTAACACTTATTAATTAAATATATGTCATTTACTTTCTTACGATTTTCATTTTATTAAATTATATTTTCATTATGCCGCGCCGCTTTCTAGTTTATAACAAAAAAGTATTCGTATAAAATGTACGTTGTGATAATCGGGAACCATCGTCTAAAAATCATAGCAATCTTTAACACTGGCCGATTCATTTTTAACGTTTTCAATTTTTTGTTCTTTGCCAACGTAATCGATCGCGATATCTCCGGGCACGGACGAAGTGTAAGAATCCGAATTTCATTATTAGAAATGGTGGATTCGAACCGGAATCCTTCCCGAGGGTTGTTTTTAACTTACGAAAGGGGAGGCCGTCTTATATAATTTAAACGAATAAAAATATTTAAATCGTTAAACTTTAATTATTCGAAATTAAAATATACGCAAATTCACCACCATTTTTATCGATAACGATTTTGAAAAATAAGATCATAGCTACGCGACGAGTTGGCAACACTTCATCCGCCGACATTTTTTTTCTTTCTTTCTTTTTTTTTTTGTGTTTTTGTCTTTTCGACCGCTCGGTGGCGCCAGTCAATTCGTGTACGCGCGATCGACCGCCATTGGAATAGGGGACCGCCGAGGGCGGAAAGGTGCGGATGTTTCACTGCATCCCTCTGCTAGGCGGAGGCCGTCGTCGGGTGGAGAGCTTAGACGGGCGCCACGGCGGCCTGTCGTCCGTCCCCGACCACGTCCTGCGCCAATCCGCCTCTCTGCGAGAACTGCTGTTAGACGTCAATCGCATCTCCGAACTTCCTCGGGTAAGCCAATGTTGCCTTTTTCTCAGCTCTTCCCTTCGCCCTCGGGGCACAGATCGAAACAAACGCTTGGCCGCCGCGATTGCCTTCGGTATTCAATCGTCTTCCGTCATTCCCGACGTCGGAGACGATTCCATCGCTCCGAAATGTCTAACGATATCGAATTGGACCTATTTACTACGTTAACGAAGAGGCGTGGTGCCGGATAACGACCTACGACCCCAAAACAAACAGCATACGGAGTAACGTCTACGTGCAATCCACCCAAAACAACTCTTTCGGACTGTTATTCTTGGCCTTCGTACTTATTTTTAGTTGTTTCTCCTATTAACTCACATTTTTAACCTATTCTTATTTACGTGTAGAATGAAATGATGCAGCACTTTGTTTGTCACGGAAATACATTCCGTCTAATGTAATATTATTACTCGGCTTGTAAGTTATAAATGATAAATGTAGGGATCGCAGAAATTTAGACTTAGACGTGAAGATGGTTAATTTGCCGACAAACCTTGTCGAATACGTCGGGGTTTGCGGGCAGATTAAGCTTCTCGAAAACTGAGGTTTGTCGACGAAATTACCTTCTTCTCGATAAGTAGATTAACGACGGAGTGTGTTGGACGAAACCTTTACCGCCCAGTAAATAGCCGAGGTGCTTGGTTTCTCGGCAAATTAAGCTTCGCTTCTAAATTTAAGCGATTAGTAATAGAAGTGTAGAAAAAGGATGGTAATCTGATGCGATGGATGTATTCAATGACAGAAGTTTTTTTTTAAGTGAGAGTGATGCATCTGGATGACACTCTTCGAAGAAAAAGGAAAGGAACGTTATAAAATTTTTCAAGTCTTTTCTAATTAAAATTCATTTTTTAAGATTTATATTGTCTCTTGTTTGGTATTTGTATACTACTTATGAACTAACAGTGGCAAAAAGTGGGAATTTTATTGAATTCTCATTATAAAGTGTTTTGTCCGTTTAACTTGGTTCCTCCGAGATTAAATCCCGAGTTTGCCTTTGATGCGTGACGCAGAAAATGTACTGGCTTTTTACACGTTCTGAAAATATTAAGAAAATGTAATGAGGGGTTACTACTATGTATTTTTATGCATTCTAGCCACGTTTTGCTATTATGTGTCCTAAACGACCGAATTTGTGTATTGTGCATGTACGCATCTTTGTGTATTTTATGATAAAGGTATTCTTAAAATGCACATATTCTTAATTGTAAGAATGTACAATCTAATTGTGAATGTACATTCTTACAATTAAGAATATGCTTTGGCGTGAGAATTATATAACTTCAATCAACTGTCTTGAACTATTATCTCCAAATACTCTCAGAAAAAGATGACAGATTTAATGATTAGAATTAATTAATTTAGAACATCTAGACAAGATAAATCTGAAGTAGAATTTCCCCCACAAGTCTGGCGAGTATGTTATCAGTTATTCTATTCTTACCTTCGTTCCATTTTTTTCCTTTGGACGTTTGTGTAATCTTGAATTATAATACAATTGTAGAGATTGGCTCGATTTGACTCGTCGATTGGGATGTTTTTGTCTATGGGAAATCCTTGAATTACGGCACAAAAATAATAATTTTCAGCAATTTGGTTGGGCATTATGCAAATCAGACCACGGTTTGCTATTGTATAGATTTCTAGCAGTTTTATAAGCGAGTAGAAAAGTGTGTTACTTATCAAGAATATTACTTTGAATAATAAAAACTTTTTCAATGCTTTTTATAAAGTCATGTAGTTTTAGAAGTTAATTGCCAGATTTTATATCAAACAATAAAACATTATATACAAAGATACATCTCATTAAGATAAGTATTAAATTTAAAGGATGATTATCTCATTTAGATAT